TGTGTGTGTGTGTGTGTGTGTGTGTGTGTGTGTGTGTGTGTGTGTGTGTGTTTATGTGTTTGTGTGTGTGGGGAGGGGGGGAGTTGGAGGTTTGGAGGGCGGCATCTAGCAACCACAGAGCTCACGATCAGCTTACTGTCCTCTGCACATATTCACGCTTAACGAACTATGACAGGTTGGCGGACAGATACCGGAGTGTCCTCTCCTTTCTCTCAGTCCGGTCCCCACTATGTAAGGGAATGAGGGAAGAGGGGGAGAGAGAGAGAGAAAGAGAGAGAGATAGATAGAGAGAGAGATATACATAGAGAGGGAGAGAGAGAGAGAGAGAGAGAGAGAGAGAGAGAGAGAGAGAGAGAGAGTGAAGCACGGGAGAGACCGACAGACAGACCGTTGGACTACCTGACGACATTCCCTCTCTATCCACCTTTGGCCATCAAGAAATTATATATAGTGACACCAGCCATCCATGTCCAGGAGCTGTTTTAGCCTTATTATCTATCTTTGGTCACCCTCTCTCACACACCTTCCAATCCTATACTTGAGGCTCCCTGTTTGTCCGGCTCATTCCCCACAGTGCCAGGTTCGCCGGTGAGTCCCCTCTCCGTTTTAGACACTTTCCCTCTCTCCTCTCTCCTGTCACACCATAGAACCCTCCAACTGAGGCCCCTGCCCGCTCCTGCCCAGACCCTGCAAACACCCCCCCTCCCCACCAGGGATCTGTTATGTGATTATTACAACAGGCCCCCGCCGTCCGTCCCCCGACCTCCTATTACTTATGTACACAGCTATCACTACTGTGCTATGGTTATATAGTTTTCTGTTCTTCATGTCTAATCATAAGATATCATTTAGAACTGACGATCGTTGGCCGCGTATGTTCTGCCATTTGTTAATACTTAACAAGCTCAAAGTTTATATGAAAAGATATGGTCTAATATCCGCCTATTGATATCATTTTTTCATGTTTATGTAATTTCACGACTTAATTTGTGCTTACTTCCCTTTGTGATTGAATTGTTTACCTTGACTGGGAAAATGAAAGACATTGTGAGGGAATGGAGGGAGGGGGCGGAGGGTGGGGTGGATGTGTTTGTGTGTGTGTGTGTGTGTGTGTGTGTGTGTGTGTGTGTGTGTGTGTGTGTTTATGTGTTTGTGTGTGTGGGGAGGGGGGGAGTTGGAGGTTTGGAGGGCGGCATCTAGCAACCACAGAGCTCACGATCAGCTTACTGTCCTCTGCACATATTCACGCTTAACGAACTATGACAGGTTGGCGGACAGATACCGGAGTGTCCTCTCCTTTCTCTCAGTCCGGTCCCCACTATGTAAGGGAATGAGGGAAGAGGGGGAGAGAGAGAGAGAAAGAGAGAGAGATAGATAGAGAGAGATATATACATAGAGAGGGAGAGAGAGATATATACATAGAGAGGGAGAGAGAGAGAGAGAGAGAGAGAGAGAGAGAGAGAGAGAGAGAGAGAGAGCGAGAGAGAGAGAGTGAAGCACGGGAGAGACAGACAGACAGACCGTTGGACTACCTGACGACATTCCCTCTCTATCCACCTTTGGCCATCAAGAAATTATATATAGTGACACCAGCCATCCATGTCCAGGAGCTGTTTTAGCCTTATTATCTATCTTTGGTCACCCTCTCTCACACACCTTCCAATCCTATACTTGAGGCTCCCTGTTTGTCCGGCTCATTCCCCACAGTGCCAGGTTCGCCGGTGAGTCCCCTCTCCGTTTTAGACACTTTCCCTCTCTCCTCTCTCCTGTCACACCATAGAACCCTCCAACTGAGGCCCCTGCCCGCTCCTGCCCAGACCCTGCAAACACCCCCCCCCCTCCCCACCAGGGATCTGTTATGTGATTATTACAACAGGCCCCCGCCGTCCGTCCCCCGACCTCCTATTACTTATGTACACAGCTATCACTACTGTGCTATGGTTATATAGTTTTCTGTTCTTCATGTCTAATCATAAGATATCATTTAGAACTGACGATCTTTGGCCGCGTATGTTCTGCCATTTGTTAATACTTAACAAGCTCAAAGTTTATATGAAAAGATATGGTCTAATATCCGCCTATTGATATCATTTTTTCATGTTTATGTAATTTCACGACTTAATTTGTGCTTACTTCCCTTTGTGATTGAATTGTTTACCTTGACTGGGAAAATGAAAGACATTGTGAGGGAATGGAGGGAGGGGGCGGAGGGTGGGGTGGATGTGTTTGTGTGTGTGTGTGTGTGTGTGTGTGTGTGTGTGTGTGTGTGTGTGTGTGTGTGTGTGTGTGTGTGTGTGTGTGTGTGTGTGTGTTTATGTGTTTGTGTGTGTGGGGAGGGGGGGAGTTGGAGGTTTGGAGGGCGGCATCTAGCAACCACAGAGCTCACGATCAGCTTACTGTCCTCTGCACATATTCACGCTTAACGAACTATGACAGGTTGGCGGACAGAAATACCAAAAGATACAACGAAAGATCACCCCTTTCCAAATTTCCGCCAAACCCCATTCAGGCATTACCCACATACGGCTATCAAGGCCCTGATATAATGACCCTACAGTAACATTGATATACTTATAGAG